TTGTATGCATTTCAAGGTCAACTTCGAGTGCCTGCCATGCACCCACACAATCAGGCCAAACAACAAAGTTGCATGTTTTAACAGGGCTAGAGGCAGAAAGAAATATTACGTAAACGTACACCTACACGGAATGGAACTTTGGACGTGTCAGGGACGATCATGAAGGCCCAGTGTTATAAGAGGCACGAACTGGAAATATCGGCCGGACTAAGACAGCACTCATAGGCCGCGCCATGGCTCAAGCGGTTAGTCGCTGGCTTTCCACCGCGGCGGCCCGGGTTCGATCCCGGGGTCTGGTCAAGTGGGATTTGTGGTGGACAAAATGGCGCTGGGGCAGGTTTTCTCCGGGTACTTCGGTTTCCCCTGCCAATCTTCATTCCACCAATTGCTCCACAATCACCCTCACCTATCATCTGGGGCTGGTACAATAGGCCAGAAGTTGTCGCAGTACAAGGGACTTAGTCCCACCCCACTACCAATAAAAAAAAGACAGCATTCATGGAGCTGAGCCCTTCTTGAGGACCCACACAATTCTGCAACTATTCTAGAATTCCCCAGCATTTTATGGAACCCGAAGGTTCATTACCGTGTTCACAAGAGCCCTCCACTGGTCCTTATCCTGAGCCAGATAAATCCAATCCATAGCATCCAATGCTATCTCTCTAAGATCCGTTTTAATATTGTCCACCCACTTACGACTCGGTCTTCCCAGTGGTCTCTTTCCCACCAATGTCCTATATGCATTCCTCTTCTCCCCCATTCGTGCTACATGCCCTGCACACCTCATACTCTTTTGCCTTGATAATTCTAATTATACTTAGAGGAGAGTAAAAGTTATGAAGACAGTTTTTAGAGATAGCTTTCAAAACATTGTACTTGCATTACGTATTAACGAAGCTGATCGCCCGAAAAGATTTCTACATTCTGTCATTTCGAGAACTTCAAATGTCCTATGAGTTTAACGGATTTGCGGCTACTTTCGGTCACTAAGTGGCAATGCAAGCTAAGTACCACTCAAATGGCCGTTTCTTTAATTCTTCCGAACTTCGACGTGTAGTTGTCAGCATCCCCGATTATTATTTCGCAGTTTTTTCTCTTGCGGGTTCCACAATGGGGACGCCGAAATACTAAACATAAACTATGAAATAAATTCCATCTTCAAAATCCTCACCCGCGCATCTCACTTGACCCAGCCTTGCTGAAGAACTTAAAAATAATTAGCCTGTCACTGCAGATATTCACTGAGTTTTAATTTCTGCAACGCGACACGGCGTGACTTCCGCGGTAAGATGCTGGAAATGACATCTCAAAGCTGTTCTCTTCCCCAACTCCACGGGGCAGAGTCCTTCGTAAGCTAGCAGTCGGTCACCTCATGAAGAAACTCCTCACCTTCTATGGAAAGCACGAGAGACTGTCTTTGGACTATATCCTGAGCCAAATGAATCAGTCTCTAAGATCTATTTCAGTATCATTCTCTCATCTGCGCCTAAATTTCCCAAATGGTCTCGTCCTTTCGGGATTTCCGAGTAATAATTTGAACGTTTCCCAATTCTCCCATTCCCTGTCAATTTAATTTAAGTTTATGATTCATCTTCTTAGATCTGACAATCGCAAATTTCCGTCAAATTTCATAAAGTCCACCTTCAGTCCTCTCGTAACGAAATGTCTCGCCATCTCCTTCTGGTGACCCATACACAAAGACATGTGTGAGGACGATTATGCTTTGTGTCTCGCGTTTTTTCCGACTGTGCCTTTTTGTTGTTCATCCAGTTTCAGTTCATGTTCGTAACAGGTCAAGCACAACATTGCTTCAGCATTTATTATCATTGAAATAATGCGGCATTTCTCAACCACTTGCATTACAATATGGTTCCGTATGTTCTACCCTAGCCGATCACAGTGGCCGCTCGGTCTAAGGTACTGGGATAGTGAGTTCAAATTCCACTCAAGGCGTGGATATTTGTGTTTATGCTGTCCTGTGTAATTAGCAGCCTTGCGACGGGCTGATCCCCCGCCAAAAGAGTCGAACCGACTGTATATATGATTAAAAAACTGTAAGAAATTTAACATGGGCTGTAGCGCCCATACAGCCCATACCTTAATACTATGAATGTTCAAATATATTTCAGTATCTCAAGGCGCATCAAATCGTTTTTGAAGATAGTGCAAGTACATATAAATGTTTCGTGGTTTATTCAAAGATAACTTTCAGCCCATCAGTTAAAAGGTAAGCTGTAAAAAAGGAATTGGAGAGACGTTAACGGAAGAGGCCTTCGCCCATAAGATCCTAATCCCAGTTCTCTTCTAATATCTTCATCGCGCTTTAGGCATTATTCTGTATCTTGCAATTTCTGTTATCGTCATTCTTCTCACTCCTCCTTTTGTTAACGTCCTGTGTTCGGAGTCATCATAAGTATGCCGGTTACTCTATAAAATGTTTCTTTGCGGTTTGTTTGGGCTTACGGTTACTGCTCTTGGTTTTATAATTTTACATACCTGTTGAAATCTGTTATAGTTTTAGTCTGTATCATTTCTGCATCTTAGATACGAGTAATTGAAATTCCTTTACTGATCTGTGGATGGAAATATTTCACGTCAAATCTGGGGGACTAATTTACGCCTACCTAATCACACGCTTCTTATGCCGAGAAATAAATGAAATGGCCATTCAATAAATAATTAAACCTTTACTGTTCTAAGAAGTTTTGTGTGTCCCCTATATCTAAAGGTAAAGTTATCACTGTAACAGGCCGTGGAGACCCACAGGGTTGTGAGACGTCGAGGCTCTTACATTTTCTAGAGATTCTGCTCACAGATGGCGGTAAGGCCTTACGCGCCGGCCGCCCTTAACCCCCCCCCCCAGAAGATTCCTGGTACTCATTTCTGTTAGAGGCTGAGTTGACCCCAGGATCATAGTGCGGCTGGAAGGATTAGGTAAATTGAAAAATCCACCTCATCGGGACTAGAACCAGCGACATTCCAGCTTGCAGCATAGTGTCTCAACCAACTACGCTACTGCGTAACCCCCCCCCGCCCCTCCAGCATATATAAGATATGAAAATAAGTGTCCGGCGAACGGGTTGGCAGGATTAGAAACATTAGCTTTCAGAAAAGGCCAGTAAGATAACATCACCTGTCGCTGAGTTGCTTCTAAAAGGCATTGACTCATGCAGCCTGAACGCAGTATGATTTTTCCACCTGGGAATCTGCAGTAGACTGTTGTGCAGACCAGCTGCTGCCAGTCAATGTTACATCATGAATATGTTAACGCTGTACTCGTCATGCTTCATTTAAGGCAGTCTGGTGTTCATTTCTTTTCTTTTCATTCCTTTCCAACATGCGCAGATGGAATATTTGTCGGATTTGCAGTTTTCTGGGCGCAGTAGGAATATTGCTGTCTTCTGGGGCGTGATGCACCGTTGTTGGGTAAATACGTACACATCTGACTATGCAGCCTTATGTGCCTACACAGTGATCTTCAGAATATCAGTCCATCTGTCTGTATTCCCACCCTCTCCGGAACTGATAACAGGGGCATTTTTGAGGAATTCGTATTCCAAACTATACTTTTTGACCATATCGCGTAGATGGGACCTCCAATTAAATTGATGATCAAAAAGTATTTTGTATAAAATATTCGTTAAAATAAGCTCTATTAAGAAATCTAAGAATGTTCCAGGCATCTGTGGAATTCAACGAGCGACCTGTTCTGTAAGCCATATTTACTTTATATAAGAAATCCATTTTATGGCAATATAACCACCAATACAAACGAATGCTGCGGGGAATGTGTTTTGGAAGCCCTCCGTTGACAAACGTGCTGCTAGTTTTAGTTCCTCCGTTTGTGAGCATTTGCAAATTAGTGCCAGCTCTTATAAAAATGTGCGAGTTTTCACATGAACTTGCAGAATCAGAATGGAACAGCCTATATCCGTAACGAGACAATAGAAAATTAAGTAAAACAACTTGAACACTGAACAATACAAAAATCTTCATTTTGTTTCCAGAATTTATGAACTACTGTCCCTATATCATTCTTACAGATTTAAAAAACAGAGTTACCCTACAATCGTCTTTGTACACCTGGTCACGAAGATGTGCAAGGCAATACAAGTTGCCTGTAGCTCCGAGAGGTCCTAACCTCAACACCATAGCGAGATGAGTCGCCAGTTATACCTGCCAAGGAAACTACTCCCAATAAGTACGGGGCTCTGTCGTCCTTGAATATTATTGTTGTACCTGCTATTATTATTATTAGTAGTAGTAGTAGTAGCAGTAGATTCTAAAGGGTTCTGACGATGGTGGATGACACACAGAATTACTGGGTTTTGGGGCTTTTTCCATCGTCCGGAATTCTAGGTAATAGAGGACACTCAAGGTAATAGAGGCCAAGACGTTTCGGAAACTGGATCTGTTTCCGTCTTCATGTGAGAAGGAAGACACATACTCAGTTGAGCTAATCCAGGTCCAGTGACTGAGATTAGCCCTTTCTAAGGGGTTCAACTGAGTATGTGTCTTCCTTTCTCACCTGAAGACGGAAACAGATCCAGTTTCCGAAACGTCGTGTCCTCTATTACCTAGAATTCCGGACGATGGAAAAAGTCTAAAAACCCAGTAAATCTGTGTACTATTATTATTATTATTATTATTATTATTATTATTATTATTGTCACTCGTGCTCACTTTGTAATTGGCCCTTGGGCTGCTGGGTTAAAAGCAAATAAATAAGAACTGAATTACTGCTGCTACTACTACTACTACTACTGCTGTTGCATGTTTCAGTGAGCGAAGGCAAAAACACACTGACCAAAGAAAGGCACATAATTCTCTTGCCGCGTACTGCAATAGCGGCGTTGCCAGATATTACCAGTGACAACATAAACTTTGTCAACAGGTTGCGAACGAAACTAAGTAAATGAAACTAAACGCGAAGTGCAACAAACCCAAACTATTGCGAAGCTATCACCAAACACAGCAGCAATGTATATTACGGTACTTACCAAGCCGGCAGCAAGCAAGTCAGCACATGCTCTGGGACCGCCTCCTTCCTCTCCACTCGAGGGGGGCCACGCGACTGAGAGCCAGCTGGCTGGCAGGCATTCACCGGGCAAGGTAAGTGACGGGCAGAAGTTGTGTACGTGCATCGCCACGCAGTGCCAACCATCGTAAAGCGATTAATTAACGAAATGGCATTCTGAAAACAAAATAGAGTGCACCAACATAATTATGGACTCTTAAGAGACGTCGAAATGTCTCCATGTTGTTTCTACACGGTAGGATACACAACAAAGCAACAGGCAATAATCAACCATCGGTATGCGATACCGTATTGCCTGTATATTAACAGCCAGGATATCAAAGCATCTGGTAGTTTTCAGATTGTAGTCTCCTGGGTTGTGACACCGTGTAGACTGGTGGGCGGATACAGACGTTTCGGAGGAATATATTTGTCATCTTAAACAAAACTCATATATGGTAGTTTGTGAACACATCTGTGGGTGATTACAATTAATATTTAATATACAATTAATATATTCATGGAGCATTTCGAAGAAATAGCAATAGACACAGCTGAATACAAGCCTGCAAAATGGCTGAGATATGTCGACGACACGTTTGTGATATGGCCATATGGACCGGAAGAGCTACAGAAATTTCTTCAACATATTAACAACATCAGGCCTACCATCAAATTCACTATGGAAGTTGAAGTCAACAATGCACTTCCATTCTTGGATGTTTTGGTTATGAAGCAGGGTCCAAAACTGACCACCAAAGTGTACCGAAAGCCTACTCATACTGGTCGTTATCTTCACTTCAAATCCAATCACCCACACCACGTAAAAAGGGGAGTTGTTCATAGTTTGATCAACAGAGCGAAGGTCATATGTCAAAACAAGAAGGATTTTAGTAAAGAAATCAGAAACATAAGACATGATCTAATGCTCAGTGAATATCCTAAAGAATTCGTGGACTCTGTATTGAAGCCATCGACAAGAAATCGTCCCTCTTCAGACACAACATACCGAGGCACTGTAATCATTCCGTATGTCAAGGGTATCGCCGAGAAATTCAGACGCATCGGGAATCGTTTTCAGCTTAGAACAATCTTCAAAACGAAACATACACTCCGGGGGACATTAATGAAAACTGGACCCAGTAGAGATGCCCAGAAAACGAAGCAGTGTGTGTATAGCATCCCTTGCGACTGCGGCAGATGTTACATCGGTGAAACTAGCAGACCCCTAGAAGTACGCATTAAGGAACACAAATATAATATGACACAGGGTTTGCTGGAAAAGTCTAAATTGGCCCAACATGCATACGAGGAAGATCACAAAATTCTTTGGAATGAAGCGAAGGTTTTGCAGATCGAACCCAACACCACATATAGAAGATACAAGGAATCAGCCCACATGTCTCTGCTGGACCATCCTATCAGTCAACCCAGTATGGATATCTCTCCCATCTGGGCCCCTGTCATTACAGCAGAAATCAAGAGACTACAGCGACGTCAAGTGTAGTTGGTTTGGGTAACTCTTTGTTTCATATGTTGGTACCACAAGGAGTATTGCTTCTCTTCCGGTATGATTTCATTCACGATATTTCTCTGGTGCTAAGCCTCAAATTATGATATCTTCAATATTTCTTAGCTCCCACAGATGATTTTGTTGTGCTTGTATACCACAAGGAGTATTGCTTCTCTCCCGGTATGATTTCTTTCTCTGGTGCTAAGCCTCAAATTATGATAGCTTCAACATATCTTAGCTCCCACAGATGGATTAAGTTGTGCTTCTTTTATGAATCCCTTCGGAAATTGGCATAGTTGTCCGGAGATAGGGCTAGCTCTGTCTATTGGACCCAACTGAGTAGGTTTTACCTGAAGACGGGGACAGAATCCAGTTCCCTAAACGTTGTGTTTTTTTATAGAAATTAGACTGTTTTTTAGAATAGACAAGATGATGGATAATGTCCAGCAAAATATTAATTGTAACAATTTACCATCATCACAAACTTTTAGATCTTATTTAGATCTGTGGGTGACTTGGTCATTGCACGCAGTGTGTTGAGGACAATGAGAGATCGCAAGAAGGTAGGTTAAATGCCTGTGAGTGCGTCCATTTTGCGTCGAAAATTATCGTTAGGAACTTTGCTCCACGTTTTCCATATACATCCCCAGCCTCAGAAGCATCGATACGTTTCTGCAGTTTGCACGAACTCAATATTTCATTGCTCTTCCGAGCCATACTTAATATCCGCTGAGGTGTACATCGCTCTTCGCGTGGTTACGCAAGCTGATTCACTTGATGGTGTGGACGGAACGCTCTTGCAGCGGGAGCCTAAGCAGCAGGGCATATAAATCGCTAGACAGAGCAAATAAATCGCTTAGGATCGACCTCGAACATCGTTCCGAAGAAATTTTGTTGCGATATCGTGGTTGCCCTAGTGAGAACGCTAAACCCAGCTTCTAAAAGTGACACGTAGCGGTAACTGCTAGCTGTCCTGGTGTTAATCCTGCCTTAGAGGTTCAGAAGAGAACGTGATGATCGACCTGATACTGGGAGGTACCCGGTTCGAACTTCAGACGAATTAGCAGTTTATATTTTTCTCTAAATATGGGGTTGGGTGGCACTAACTGGCCTGATGTAAAAGAACCTCATATCTCCTAAGGAGGTCACTGAGCCAAATTCAAGGACATTTCCCGCCCAACAATAGTCTCTAACGCCTCTGATAGATGGGAGAAGCATTATAGATACCGCCAAGCCAGTAGAGGCCGAACTCGCTGGCTTGGTCGGGACTGATGGTAAACACCAGTATCGGTAGGGTATAGAGACTGGTAGAATATCACAGAGGGAAGCACAATAGATCAAACTGGTCGCGGTGCATGGGGAAACCCACCCTCTCTAAATAACTAACTAACTAACTGGCCTGATGTATCAGCCCCGGATGAAAGATGAATATGGAGCATTTGGTGGAACGAGAATTGGCAGGGGAAACCGAAGTACTCGGAGGAAACCTACTCCAGTGCCACAGTGTCTGCCACAAACCCCACATGACCTGACCTGGAATAGAAACCGGGCCGCCGCGGTGGGAAGCCGATGACTAACCTCCTGAAGTTTGGTACGATCAATTACCTGTTACACTGATTGTGTTTCCTTCCAATTACTTCCTTCTAGAATAAGACACATCCACAAATCGATTCTTTCAAGGTCGCGGTTAGCTTTCCTTGACACCTGCTTCTTGGCGGTTTCTTTCTTGGACCCTGAAGACGGAGGTGATATGGTCCACCGAAACGTCCGGATCCTGAGGTTCAGACAGTCTCTGATATCCGTTACTATAATTAATATTTTTTCTTCTTCGGTGGGGATAACATGGCTGTTATGTGAAGATCGTTCAACTCCATCTATCAGAAGTTAGAAAGCGTGGAGCTATGCCTTCACTCCTACATGCGTCTACATCGATGTAGTGATTAATTAATTATGCTACTGGAGCCGGGGTGCCTCAGTCTGTATAGTGACGGGCTACGGGCTGGACTGACGAGGTTCGATTTCCGGCAGGGGCAAGAGACTTTTCTCTACTCCAGAGGGCTTAAGGTATTCGTAATGTACCAATATTTGTCTGGAGGGAGTGAGAGATAACTTAACGACCCTAACTTAGCATGCGTACGCCAGCCTCACACTCGAGATCTGAAACCGGGATCCCCCCCCACACACACAAAAAAGCAAATATCCTAACCACTCTAACATGACGGTCGCTTGAATCATCATCCTCATCAGCCACCATCATTATTTTTATCATCCATTTCAGATATGGTTGGGGCTAAAAATCCTTCACCATAAAACTCTTTTCTTATTCTTCTATTATTTTTACCCTTGACCGCCTCTGTCGTCTAGTGGTCAGAGTTCCTGGTTACAAATCCGGAGGTCCCGAGTTCGATTCCTGGGGTTACAATATTTTCTGAGAAGTAATGGTTCTGGAACGGGGTCCACTCAGCCTCGTGAGGATAATTGAGAAATTATTTCAAGGAAATAGCCGCTCCGGTCTAGAAAACCGAGATAAGTGCCACGTGTCACTCTCTATCCGCAAAATTTGGCACTGACTTAGCCGACAAGCGGTGGTCGCTCGGTCGGTAAAGTTCGCCTGCGGACTACAGGCCACGGAGTTTTTTATTTTTACCCTTGTTTTACTAGTATTTGCTATTCTAACGAATAGATTGTGTGTTATTTAACGGCGCTGTGGAACTACAGCAGTTATTTAGCTTCGACTTCGATGAATGAAGGATTGCTCCATCTTCTGCCATGAAGATGGATTAAGCAGGTTCCTCTGAAACGTTGATAACCATCTATGAGATTATGCTGTGTCGCGGCTCAGAGGATCACGGTCTAATCTGTCACTGCAGTGTAGACCTCAGTCTCGTGGCCTATAGGTGAGAAAAGTTATTTCAATGCAGGTAGTGAAGCGGTGGTCTTCAGAAGAAATATGATTTACTGCTCAGAGAACGACGCCATCCAGCGCTAGCGTCACCGACTCTTGAAAGGAAAACGCGTGAACTGTGGAAATTCTCTTAGTGTTTTATCGTCTCTTTCCCCATACTTCTAATGACATACATAACTCTTCTATGACAGAACCTCCATGGAATATAGAGGAACAACTGTTTTCACTATAGCTATCTCTCGCAGTGTGAGGAAACAAATTTCCTTCAATGTCAGAAAAATAAAGAATAAGGATATAAAATGCGTTAGATTTATCAGCTCTCATGCCACGAAACCTGGACAGTGATGACCAAAATAACCAGCAACACAGCTCCCGAGATACATGAGACGGATTTCAAAAAGAAATATGTAGACTTCGAAAGAAACCAATCAAACCGTTCTGGTTAAACTAAAGTATTGGTAACAAGTGTCTGTTACATGAAAAAGCAGATTTCCGACATCCAAAGAACGCAAAGAAATAGACTACTCAAAGTAGCGACGAGCCATTTGAAATAAAATCCACCTTGGCTTAGATCTCCTAATTGTACACTTTCTATTTTCGTTACACTTCACAACACATTAAGTTGCCCACACGTATGAGCCTAAGCTGACCCATTGTGTGCCTTATGG